AGCCTGGCTGGGCTGGGGAACCTGAAGGCGAGTTGGACACCTTTCCATCACTGCCCATGTAGGAATCCATGGGCTGACGGTTCTGAAAGAGCTCGCAAACCTCCCCCTCCCTCAGAGAAAGCCGCACCTGAGCATGGGCCATGCTGGGCTGCAGCAGGGGCGGCTGCAGGGGCGGAAGCGGATCCTTCGAACATTAAAGAGAGGTCAGCTGTGCTGCTGATTCATGATGTCTGCCCGAGGCGCAGAATGTCAGAGCAGAGAGGCGAGAGTAACAGGGCACAGCCACCCGACTCTGATGATGCTCCCCCTGATTAGGCATCTCAGTCCAAACCCTTACCTTTGCTCGGGTCTCGGTTCGTGCCTGCCGCAATCAGCAGGCTTGTGCGCAAGTCGCGGCAAGAATGCGACCGACGACATTAGTTTGCTGGCCGCTTGCCGCTGTTGCTACAAGCCTACACAGACCCCTGACCACGAGGGTTAGCGGCGAAAAAATGCTCGCGCCCAGGTGGAAGTGACATGCACACCTGGTGCTCAAGGCTTAGGGTTGAAAGGAGAAGCAAACGTTCGGCAGTTAGGCCACGGAGTGAAGCCCTTCGATTGACACAGGAGCATAAGAAGCGGGGTTAGCGTTTGACTCGGGTGTGCAATCGTGGACGGCGGGGCGGACAGAACGTTACTTCTGATGCAAGAACATCAAATCGCAAGATACCTGATCAACCCGCACGACACCTTCCGCAACAAACTGAGGCTCTTCCAAACCGCAGTCAAGGACTAGCCGCCAAAGCCCGCCTCCTCACCTCGATGATACGCAGCCTGAGCAGAGATTACTCCGAGTGGGATGTCGGTGTGGTATACCGGTACTCATGCGAGGCGTAGTGCAATACCTTTCATTCTTTACCCGGTGTCTCTGACACACCCCCCCTTCTCAGCATGCTGCTCCGCCCTCATCTTGGCTAAATCTCAGTGAAATCCGAAACTGGCATGTCTGTCCTGGGCTCCCCGGCCGATCAGTCTTTCAGTACATCTTCTCTCTTCTGCTGCATGTGACGACGGGACAGTGCAGACGAGCTTGCTGGCGTGCTGGGGGTCCGAGGGGTCTGTCCTCAAGGCCCCTCACGGGGTTGAGCGATGCTCACGTTCCCCCTAATGTGCCTGTATACTGTACGCCCGCAACAAAACACGAGCTGATCCTCTCTCTCTCTCCCTCCTGGGCTCTCTCTCTCTCTCTCTCTCTCTCTGTCTCTCTCTCGCTCGCTCGCTTCTCCCAATCCTAAGCTTTTCAATTTAAGAGGCCTGGCCAAGGCCTAAGTCTCGGCAACTGAGCGGGAAATAGGAGTAACAACTCCACTACCCGTAGTTGCACGAACCACGTTGCCTGTGACAGACAGTAACAGTATCAGCGAAAGAGGTGATGGCCTGGTAGCTGTGTCAGGCGTTGTAGTGACAACACTTGCTTGAATCAGCGACAAGTTGTAGGAGGGCTCCAAATCAAAGCCCCACCTCCTCGATGTATCTTTGAAGCTGTGCAGTGGAGAGTGGTCGGTTCCTCGGTTTCGAAGCAGGTGGGTTGGGATTTCGTTATTCACGGCTTATGGAACCGCCGCCGGACCAGCCTAAGGGGGCGGGAACCAGGGTAGTTTATGCTTGCACTAGATTGGTGCTCCACTGCTCTTGTTGCCGAGCTTGCTTTGCACGTAGCCCCTGGCTCCGAAGCAAGCAAACTGAAAATATGAAAGGGCCTTGCAAGTGCATGAGTCTGACTTGATCGTGGCACGCAGCGGCATTCCGCTTTAAACCTACCATGCCACACATGCAGATTTGAAACTCTAGGTACAAACGGCTCTACCTCAACACATTTCAGGTCGCCTGACTTCTGCATGACTGGTATCTCGAATTCTCTAACAGCCTGCTCTTGGAACTGGGTCGCGGCAGAATGCCGGTCTTCGCGGAAGCATCTGGCGCTGGCACATCCTGGGGCAAGACTGCGTTGCGCTGGTCAGTGCCATGCGGAGGTCGGCGGAGGTACACGACCCATCAAACACTGCAGAGCTAGTGGTGCGAGCAAAGGCCCGCTGATAAACATCTATGTGCTTGTCATCATGTCTGACCTTGCCGATGAAACTTGCCGGCTACTTTGGAAGGTTCGGCCACCGGGAACTGAGAACTGCTACTGTCTATACGCTTGTAGGTGGCCGCATTCTCTGGCCGCTGCATGCGAGGAGCAGGGAAGGGCTCCGTCATCAGGGACGAAGTGGGCTGCAGATACCTTCCACGACAGGGCATTCCTGGCTGCCGGCTTCAAAAGCCCCTTGTATGGAGTCGGCCTCGGCACACTAGTAACTAGTAGATTGTGCTGCTTTCTCATTCCGCCATCGCAGCAGGTAAGACTGTAAGACGTGGGGTATCAGCTAACAACGCTCAGGAAGCAAAACATGGACATGTCGGCCTGGAGCCCTGGAAAGAGCCGGGAAGAGAAGTGGACATGGCCAGAGCTTCCGAGTCGAAAGCTGCTCTTCTGGTCAAGGACTGATGGAGCTGAGGCTGAGGGGTTGAAGCTACGTCAAAGCAATAATCATTGCTGAAGTGGAAGTACCGGGGCTTGGGCATGGGACTTGAACAGAAGATTTCCATTTTCATCTGGCAGCTTTCTAGCAAGCTGCTGCTTTGATCCAACATGCACAGGCAGGGACCCAAGTGCATGACATGCAGTTGCGTGAGGTATGACCCGGGCCCTACAATAAAGCCAGCGCTTACGAGAAGCCGATATCCTCAGCCCAAGCATCTGTAAACGTCAGCGTCGGGATGAGCTTTGAACACGGCTTCCGCCACCCCCTGTGCACTCCCCGAGTACACACCTCAGTCGGGCAGGAATTGTAGAGCATGTGCTCCGCTGCACAATCTTTGTCAAGCATTGTGTCGGAATTGAACGGTGACTCGAAGCTTGCTCTGACTAATTGCTCACGAGCCTGGCTCGACTCTACGTTTAGTCCATCCAAGTAACAGTTGCACTGGTGCACGATGAAGTCCTCCTTTGCCTGAAGCCTGAGTTACATGCTAGCTTGGCTTAACAAAGACAGGATGAAACAAAACGCGCCGTCTGCTCGGAACGGGATCAATGCTACAACAGCTTCCGCCCATGCAAGAATGAAGTACTTCGAGCATCGGGTCCAAACTCCCGAGATCGTGCTGGGTGTGCGAATAGAGCTTCGGCAGGAGAGCAAAAAGCATATGTTCACAAGGAAAGAACAGCTAATTATAGCGGCCTTAATAACCACCTATACTAGTTCGGGGGCTCCTTCTTATAATTATGGCAGGGGCCCCAAAGCCCTATTCTAAGAATTCAGGCCCCTAGATTATATACTTAGTCAGAAAGCTAAGGTGAGTGAGCCGAGCCGCAGATCTCCAGCTCTGTGGATCAGGGTTCCACCAAGCGGCCTGCGAGGTGAAGACATAGTGCTGTTACTACTGTTGATGATATAAATCCTGCATGACCCATAATAAGGAATATACCATAATTCCCATGTATTCCTTATTATGGGTAATTCAGGATTTATATCGTGAACCGTACCACTCCCACTCACGGTAACGCTCCCACTATCCTCACCACTACCACCACTGCGACTGCTACTGCTACTACTGCTGCTGCTGCTACTACTACTACTACTACTACTACTACAACTACTACTACTACTACTACTACTACTACTACTACTACTACTACTACTACTACTACTACGGGTACTGATTATACCAATTACTTAATTACTTCTACTCCTACGACGACGACAAGGACGACGAGAGCAGCAGTTTCTCACCGGCCTCGAGTCGCTCGATCTTCGGGTCTCCTCCTTCTCCTCCTTCTTCTGTCCTAAGCACCAGAGCAGAAGTAAGCAAGGACAAGCACAACGGTGGAGTGTCCGTCGCATCATGAATTACTGAATTACTGGTACAGGCCACAGAGACCTTTCATCACCATGCTGCAGGCAAGGATGGTACTGGGACGACCTCTGGGGCATAGATCGTTTTACACTGACGGATCCGTCGGGAGCAAACGAGCCCATGGAACAGAATCCTCGCGTTCAGCCGGCATTTGGCTTACGCCCTCAAATACTCCCAGCCGATCTAGGCTCCATAGTATGCTTACGTAGAGTTTCGCTTGTGCCGGTGCAAAGCCCCGGCCGGTTGCTACCCAAGGCTCCCCAGCGGGTGCGTCGGGCTGCACTTTTCGGAGCCTCCTTGCGGCCATGGGTTCACGTGACTTGCCAGACTGCTAGCCCGGCACCATACCAGCAGTCTTGGACACATCCACTGACAACTCACTTGGCCTGACTTTGATCCCGCAGCGTCATCAGGAGCTTGATGGCGCCTCTGTCCTCTTGTTCACACTTGCGGAGCTGCATGGTCCCTTGTACTGTAGATTGCCAGCGGGCGATTTGGAACGACTGCAAGTCCGACTTCAAGCTTTGGGGAACAGCGAGGAGGACGCTGCAAGCAAACCAAAACCATGATCCGAAGTATACGTATCGACCCCTACCGGACCTGAGTAGTCAAGTTTATCCTCAGCAAGCTCAAGCTCTGCATGGAATCATGATGGAAACTTCCTGCCAACCATTGAGCAATGGATGTGCTGAGGAAACCCGAAGTTTCGCACAACATCCACATTCAGCCGGAAATCTATGCCACCTGTGAATTCTAATCAAAAATTCTGACCAGCTAGAAAATCCCACACTCACGCCGGTCCATCCGAAAGGCTTCATCTGCTCCCAAACGTGGCCGTCCTGGGCCCTCATGGCTGCCTGTAGGTCACCGCCGTACGGTAATGCTGCGGGGACTTCCGCCTTTTCGAGCAAGGCCACACTGTTTCAAGGCTGAAGCTCGGACCAACATCTTTAGGGGGAGCATATCAATAGTCATATCTAGGTATATAGAAATAAACAAGCGGCTGAATGCATATGCAGTATATTAGTATATTTGCATGTTGCCAGAAGCACATCGAGCATTCATCCCGCAAAGCGTTTTCCACCTGTTGCTTTCAAGCACTTTCGCATGCAGATGGCCTCTGCCCCAGATGGTCTCAGAGTGGCATCGCCGCCTCAAGCCAGACTCTGGAATGCAGGGGGGGGGCTGTGCGCGAGAGCGGACATGTCAAGCGTTGACCGCAGAACATGGAGGGAACATGATATGTTGTAGCTCCCATCGGACTCTGCCTCGAAAACACGGGACGTTGCCAGTAAGGTCAGTAAGGACCAGACTGTCAGGCTCCAGAGAGCTTGTCTGGCGGTCCCCTCGCCGCCAGCGTGGCGCTTGGAGGAGCTCGTCCTTCTTCTTCCATAAGACCCTTTTGTTTTGTGCCCAGAAGAAACGTCATGTGCGAATGGCCTAGAACTGCGTGATGGGTCCGGGAAGTGTGTCCGTCATACGGCAGTGTCCAGATAAGTTGCGTGTCGGCTCGTTCTCCCGATGTTCGAAGCCTTCTATCTAGTGCCTTTGACGGGGTCCCATGCTTCAGGTTTGCGGAGGGGCAACTGAACCCCGAATGCTGGCTTCACAAGTGCTGGCATGCCCAAACATGTGGTCGGATGTCGAGCCGACAATCTTGTCAAACTGCCTGTCTGGCTTACTGAAGCCACTTAATCTCCCTGACTGAGCGGACGACGACGTTCAGAGCATCAAATACCGTAATGTTTTCGCAAGGTTTTGGTGGTTGGGAGTTGTATAACATAGGCAAGCATAGCAACCTTCACAGAATGGTGTGGCAGGAAAGTCGGCCTACGTTCACCAGCACGTGGCGTACACAAGCAAAGTACAAAGCAACGCCAAACTCATAAAATGTCCGCATCATACAGTCGAAGTCCCGCGACTAAGGCCGAGGGATGTGGGAGCCATAGAGCCACAGAGGCGACGATCAGTGTGTTCATGATTACCAGACGATGCTCAGTGCGGTGTACCAACCATTAGATCCGTCGAAGCTGCAAGCCGTTACCGTACCTTTTTACGAAACCCGACGCCGTCAGGCACTCAGTCACTGAAGTCTCATCCTCATCGCCGCGAGGAGGCTGTTTTTCGGCAGGGGCATCCTTCCGGTGCTCCTGCCAGTGACATTTAAAGCCGAGACACCAGGATCGATGTGTGTTCCGAATGCGCATACTGTTAGATAGGTGGATGGACAGATAGACGTATGCAAACAGACAGAGGTTGCTTGTCATTCAAGCACGTCCATGACAAAGTACAGCTTCTTTTCAGGGCACAGCCGGGTGCTGTCCTCCTCTGGCGCTTCCCTTGGAGGAGATGTCGGCTTGATCGGCCAGGGTTCGCGGATCAAGGCCAATGCCTTTCAGTGTTGCGATATCCATGGCCAATCGGCACAGGTACTGTGTCTGCTAGATCGGCCAATGCCTGCTTCTGCTACGGTTTCTACAGCACAGCGACGGTTACGTGGAATCAACTGCCACACCATGGCCAGAACCCTAAGACCGCTTCGCTGTACAATATCCATCAGGCTGAACCACGGGACAGAAGAACATCATGGCGCTCTCTGCCACACCAGCGTCTTAGTCACTCTCACCCTCATTCTTACCATGTGTACTTTTGTCACTAGAAGAGGGTAATTCCGGACCTGACGGAGCTTCGCGACGGCCGCGGGCAAAGCGACTTCATCCACCAGGAAGCACGGCAGTATCTGGTCCTTGGTGCCAGAGGTCTCACTCAGCACTGGCAGTCATTGAAACCTAAGGTCATCAAGGCCAAGACTCCCTTGAAAACAGGCATTCCTGACAAGCAGCGCTAGCAGGTAGCACCCAGGTGGCGCAGTTCCTGCCAGGCCTCATCTGTGCAATCCAAATAGCTTGGCCGCTAGGCTCCTTTATCATGGTGCTTGCAGGGTGTAGGAACTGTTAGGTTAGTAGAGGGCCCAGCAAGGGATCACAGGGGACTCATCGGGCTCTTGGCTTGGACTAGCGTGCCGATGCAGTTTTGGTGTGATGGAAAGACCTAGGACTCCAGTAGGAGGGGTTTACTTCCTCTGCGATGTTGAATAGGTTTCTTCGACACATGTACGACGGCATGACCGGACCATTTCGCTCCACCACGGCCCAAACAATCCGGAGGTTGGGCGAGCTCATGCTCAATCTTGAGACGGAAACAGCTGATGTCAGATGTGATTCACCAACCATCCGGTAGCCTCCCATCAAGCCGGAAAACATTGATGCAGTGATTCCAAAAAGACGTCCACTCTGACTCTCGACTCGGGTATCGCAGGAAGCAGCACTGCATGCGAAAAGTGATGCTTGTCGCTGATCCTCCGAAACCGGGCTTCTTACAAGGACCATCAGGACTTTCAGATCCACTGTTTGGGGTGCCCGGCGAGATGTACATAGAAACCTTCATAACTTGAATAGGGGTTTTGCAAACTACTACAGCTAATTATTCCGGCCCCTATATTACAAACGGAGTTCTGAGGCAAAGTTGCATCCTGCCGAGGACGCTGTCGAAATCCGCTCCGTGGCTCTCAGAGAGCCCATGACCCTGAGTTCTCATATAGGGCTCCTTTAAGGGATCTTTAAGGGTTCTCAAAGGGTTCTCAAAGGGTTAAGGGTTTAAGGGTCCAAAGGGGGGCTTCCGAAAATAGGGGACCCTAATATAGTACCCTAAATCGTAGGACCCTTATTGTAAGGACCATTTTCGGAAACTCGCATATCCAGAGTCAGAGCTGCAAATGTGGAAGCATATCTGCCGGCCTTCCAAGTAATCCATTGCAACTCCTACATACATGCAGACATAGGTACAGGCATACATACATACATACATTAACATCCATCCATCCACCCAGGGATGGATGGATGGATGGATGGACGGACGGACGCATCCAATGTACATATGCATACACGCACCAGGCATGGATGGCTGGATGAATGGACGGACATAGATTTGTTTTCATTTGACAAAATGGAGCTTTTAGACTCTGTAATACTCTGTATCTATATTCTACTTAATTCATCTGCCGCAGACCAGAGGAACAGTATCCGCTGCCACTCTCCCCCTCTCGTTGCAGTGCATCGTCCGAGATTGGAGTCGGAGTGAAATGCCGATTTCTCTAGAGCCGGTCATCTATCTGTATGTATATCTATATACAAGATACCAATGGATACATACATATATATATATATACACACACACACCTACATCTATCTATCGTTATCCGGCACAGTATGTATCTGTCGATCTATATCTCTCCCCATGCGTCTGCACATCTATGTTAAGACAGTGTAGCCAAAAGCAGGCAGGACGACATCAGCTGTGGTGCCTTGCCATGGTGCCTGACCTTCTGCCGCCCGACCAGGGCCAGACAGGCGAAGGTGGCGCTTGCGCCGTAGGAAAAGTCCTTGAAACTCTGATCAAAACTGACGAAACTCTACGACGAGTGCTCTCAACAGAACGGAGAGGATAGGACTGATGTCGTATCAAGCACAGGCTCAAGTTCAGTTTGAAGTAGAAGCTGGGTTCTAACATCGGGCTCAGTCATGCTTTGCCTTGATCAATGCCGATGCTTGGCTCTGTGGCCGCCCACCTCCTTGGCCATCTTGTAGTCCGGACAGGTGTAAATCCCCCGACCAAATGCCGCACCTTCGCTCTCTCTGGCAGAGCATCGAGTCAGGCTGAAGAACGGTGTCATGCCGAAGAAAGGATAGGAACCCCGCAGGCCCGAGAAACCGTAGGGAGCACTGCTGTGGAGTCCAGACCAAACATATTCTGGACAGAATCTGGACAGTTTCTGCTGCACACTGTGCAAAATGTGATTCAAACTCTGCTAAGAACTTGTGCATGACAAGCCCACAGCGAGCACACGCACACATGCTATCCCAAGGGCAGCTGCTTTCAGTCAACTACAAATACTTCGACTGTGTTTCTGTGGACAGGTTGCATCATCTGACACAGTACATTGCGCACAACGCGAAGCATGGCAAAGGCACCATGCTTCTTCTTGACACCCGCAGGGTCTGCGCTGGGAACGCGGAGGTTGCTCTCCTAGGCAATGCATCATGTGAGTCTCTCAAACGGGCGCTGATGTTCTGCATGATCTGCCACTTCAAAGTCCAGCAAGCTGGGCTGAATGCAGCCGAGCTTCTACAATGCTCTGGAAGTTCTCTTCCGCTGTCCAATGGAAAGTCCTAGGACAGCCAGCTCTGTGCACTGATAGAGCCAACTAGCTGGAAGAAAGGGTGTGATTGTTGAGGTGGTGTTATATCGGAGCTGTCTGCTCAGGACGGAGCACAACTCAACCAAGCATGGATTCAACAATCCGTGAAGTCGCTGGACGAGCCAACCTAAGGCCACAAGACTCACTATGAAGTCTGCCCCTTAGGGCTACTTCTAATTGTAAAGTTTGAGCTTCGCCCTTTCGAGGTAGGGCTTCGTAGCTGAGCCCCGGCTACCTCCAAAAACAAGAACTCCTAAAATCTCCAAGACTTCAAGAGCCTGAAGGTCCCAATCACGCCTACAACCTTCATCTCAAAAATTCTGCTGCCCAGTCTCACTTGTGGACTTGCCAGATCCGGCCCCAACCTTGTGGATCGAAATGGAAATTCTTTCGGACTCTTGGCTCCATGGGCTGAAGTGTTCCGGAAGGGTTCCTAAGGGCTGTATACGAGCTTGAGCGGCTACTACCAGGGTCCGAATAGTAAGGGCAATGGTTCAACGTTTAGGGCTTTTTGTGCTCGAGGCTCCAGGATTAGGGCCTCAAGTCCCAGGGCGGGGAGTCTAGTCTAGTTGAGGGTCTGAGATGCGTGGCGATGATGCTACTGATGATCGCGGTGCCGAAAGCTCGATGGTGTGGGTGATTACCCTGCAGATGAAGCTGAAAGCACTGCAAAGTCGGTTCCCACCCAGCCGCTCGCGTAGAAAGCGCACATAGCGAAGGAGGAATGCCAGGGCGTTGTCGAAACCTTGCAAACAACGCAGCTTTAACCTTCTCGTCCGCAGCAAACGCAACAACAACATCCAATGGGTATCACATGAGAAACCTCCAGCCAAGTAGGGAGGTAACGAGAAGGTATACCTTCGGAAAGCTATGAAGCTCTCTGTCAGCTTCGACGGCCGTCTGCAATCCTACCCATGGCTCGAGGAAAACCCGCACGAAAAGACAACATGTGTAGTTGCAATTCTGTGACCTTAACTTGTCAGGTGCTGAAAACAGGAACAATGCCGACAGCCAAAGGCCTGACAGTGAACCCCCCCGCCGTTGCTGGCAAAGGGCTAACAACTTTGCCTTCACACGGGAGTCCTTTGGGAGGCCGCACCTCCTGTCAGCTCACTGAAAGAAGAATTCGACTTGTATCACTTACCTGCGGCACAACACTGTACGGTTTGAGGGTCTTCCGAAAAGATGAGGAGTTGGGCGAAAGTAAGAGGTTGCTGAGACTCGCACAGGCGGGGCAGCATCTGGTACACTCTACGGTCCCTACAAAATGAGATCCCAACTAACTCTGTGCAGATTCTTGGGGAACCCCCAGTGAAGACGGCTCTCAGGGAGCATCGATGGAAGACACAACCCACAACTTCGCGTCCTCGGCGTTACGGAGCAATTCCACCAGTCGCACCGTGCGCTCTGTTACGACATCCTCGTCCACTTCGACTCCCTGTGCGGGTTGGGTGCGCGGAATCAGAAATCAGGAACGGTGGTCTCTTGGATTTAGATATTGGAGTCTTTCTACTTTTGTCCTCTGTTGCTTCCTTCACCCTGCACCGCTCCAGCTCCTGAAGCTGCCCGTTCTGTGCCAATGCCAGCAATGAAGCACGGTCCTGTTGCAAACCCACACATTCTTCGGCAGTTTTCAGCCGTCTCGAGATATCTAGCATCGGTCTTAGTTCAACTTTCCGGCTACTTACAATCCAATGTGGGCTTCGTATACAGTCCCATTCATAACATTCTCGCATAACAGTCCCTGCCTAGTTACACCATAGTTAATTCCCCTCCCCCCCCTCCAAAGCCCTGTTGCACTATTGAAGGCTCCAAACTCGGCAAGTTTTGAAGAGTGCTTGCATTTCTCGACCTTTCGCCCTCTCGCCTCCTGCATTCGAGGATCCTCGGTCACATGATGTTGCGTGCAGCTGCCTAGCTGAAGGGTGAGGGTTTAGGGCACACTTCAGGACGTTTGGGTTCAGGAGGTGCTTCTTGTGCTTTCAGGTGTTGGGATGGTGCTCGCATCTTGAGTTTTTGCTTCGCACCGAAGGCTTGCATTGCCACGGCTTTGAGACGGTTCAATTTATTCTGCTGCCCCGTTGTCTCTGTTCAGCCGGGCAAGCCTGGATGTGAAACTGCAGGATGCATTGTGAACTTGCACTATCCGGCAGGTGACTAGATATTCATGATGCTAAACGTGTCTGCCTTTGTTATGGGCTCGGTGGTCACAGATTCGTCCTTGCCATGAATGTTGTCAAGGGATGTCAAGGGTTCAGGGCTACTTCAGGGACGAAGTAAGGTTGAACAGTGTGTGAACCAAGTTTCAGGATCGACTTCATCTTCCTCATCTGGAGTGTGCCAGTGCAGAGGCGCGGCCTTCGGCCTGGACCATTTCCAGCTCAGACAGGTCATACAGATAGGACAAGTTGAGGTCCTGTGCATGCCTAGATCTCCTTGCCCTGAGCTTGCCAGTTTTTTGTGATGCATGCGCCATGGATGCTTTGATTAAGCCGTCGTTACGTCGAACCTGGCACAGCGCTGGCGATGTAAGCCTCATGCTGATGTCCCTGCCTAGCCTGCCCGTAGCAATCTTGCGTCGCTGTTCGACGGGTCAAGTTCTGGATCCACTGCATCCGTGAGCCAAGTGCTTCTGAACTGGTGTTGGTCTTTCGACGAAGATCCCGTACTCACGATCAATGCCCTGCAGCCCTACAACCTAAACCCAGTAAACCCTAAAAGCCCATTTTGCATCCGGTCTGCAGCGACTCTCCCGGGTCCGCCCTCAAGCCCTAAACCCCAAACCCTCAACCAACCAACCTAAGCCGGAAATTTAAGGCAACAAAGCCGACATGGCCCGAGCCACCCTCGAGCCGCCTGCGCGGAGGCTTGGCGCCGCCTTCGCGTTGAGTCGCTGCCAAGGCCAAAGGCCCGCGCAGGTCCACGCCCTGGAGTCAAGATTATGTCTGTAGGTATGTATATATGTACAATATACATGTATATTGTATACATATATATATATAGGTTAAATAAACAAAAACATATAAACAAATAAACAAAAAGGTAAATAAACAATACATATGTATATGAATAAACATATATACAAATATATATATATATATATATACAAACACACGTCTGTTAAGAGAGCAGCACCGAAAGGAATTGCCCTGCGCGGACTGGAGCTCGCAGGCTTTACCATGGTCCATGAAAAACATGCATCCGCTAGTAGCGCGTTTACACTGAAGCCCAGTAAGGTAGGGATGTCCCTATTCAATGCTTATGCTTGTGTCCTTTTTGGGTCCCTAGAATCAACATCGGGCCTGGGAGAACGTGCGCATGCCATTGCGGCGCATGGGCTTGACATCAATGGATAGTTTCTGTCAGTCGTTGCTCATGCGGGGTGCCTTCAATGCATACAAACCCGGAAACATTGCGAAGCGTACATCTTGACTTGGGATTGGCAGAGTGCCAAACTGCGACCGAGCTGTTTGACAGTCTCAGGCGGAAGGTGTTGGAATGAGAGGAAGGGATTTTCTCTTTGACTTAGAGGTTTTGTGGCTTGTGCATACAGGGAGGAGCATGAACCTCCCACAATCTCACTTCTGAAGCTCAGCACAGTGCACAGGTGGCGGGTCGGCGCGGCTTCTCGATTTAGGCACTCCCAAGCTGCGTTTACAACCTGCTACAGCTCTTGCTGCAGTCTGCAGTCGCTGGCTCTCTGCACAAGCATGCAAATTTACGAGAAATCACAGCCTGAAGAGGCTGTCTAAGGCTTCGAATGATTGGATGGTAAGCATGCCAAGCTTGCAAGCGGCTCTGATTTTCGAATCACAACAATCACCACCCGACCACGAACACACATGCTGCAGGTGCCTCAGTGTGCAAAAGACCTGAGGAAAAGAAAGGAGTTTGCGACGAGTGTCTCATTACATCCCTTCCGCACAGAGATACGAGAAACACGGGCTATAATACGTCCATGCTAGAACAAGAGCCATGCAATGGTAAGGGTGCGCATTCATGGATCGCAGCTGTCGTCACGTGATGTCACAGGTACATGTAGCCACTGTTCACAAGATTTGTCATGTCATGGTCATGTAGTTAAATAAGCGAGAACAATAGGGAACACTGACATGATCTTGCCTCGAGGCTGCGATGAGAACGATTATGTATACCTGTGTGCGTCTGAACGGCCCAAGGCTGCGAAGTTCCGGCATGGCACATGGCTGAGCATCGGGATTCTGGATCTGGGACTCTGCATGGCCAGGAGGTTGCTGAAACTCGAATGAGACTGGGCTCGTGAAACGGGTGTTGTACTCCGCCTGGGCAAAGTGAGCCAGGGACACTGGAGAATGCATAGCGGTGGCTTCTGGGTTTTGAGCACCGCAGCTGCTGGCCCATGTTCAACCATAGAACTGAGGAATCTTTGCGTTGTTGTCAAGCAGACGGCACTATCAAGTACCTTCGCTGCCACCTCTGTCCTGAAGCTTCGCTCCCAAGCACTCTTTCCAGGAGCAATTCCTGACGTTGCGAAACAGCTGGACCAGTTTTCGGTTCCCCAGCAGCATCTTTACTAACCCGATTGTTCCACACCCTTGAGGCAGGAGGGTTCTGGTGCCCGAAGGTGCCCGTAGAATGTACAAAGTCGGACACCAAGATATGGACCGCGAGCTGCGAGATGCCACTGCGCACACGCCCCAATGCGGCCATTCTGCAGAGTTGGCAAACACTGCTTGTAAGAAAGGGTGGCATCTCGGCTCCGAAACCGACGGAGCCCGTAGGTATCCCTTCTCAGGATCCAATGGTGATCCAGAGGAGAGTGCGACTCAGCCGCGACTAGGAAGCCGAAGCACGTTTAGTCATTTGGAACATGGAACAACCTCTTGCCGCTGGTCGCTGGGTGACGGGGCTCCGTGCTGCAACTTTTGGAAGCACAGTTCGTCGGACACATCATGTGGCACTTGACCCCAGGCTCACAATGCCACCTGAGATTCGGCCTCGGGATAAAGAAAGACTGACCTTCCGACTGCGGAAGAGGCTAAGGGGGTTCTGGCATCGACATCGGACTTGGAAGGAGTGGGTGTGATCCTTGTGCTGTAGCATCCAGCGTCCGCAGATGGGAACATTGAACGATACCATGATTACGTTGTGCATAATCTCCAAAACCAGACCTGCCACGATACAGACCAAGGGGCAACATGACGCACGTTCAGACTTTCAGACGACCGCTATGTGAACTAGCGTCTAATGTAGCAGTTCCTTTTCCTATCCAAGTCCTTGATGTCGCTCACTTCTCTGTAAGCATGTAGACTGGCGTCCAGTCCGCAGGAGGCGGGTCTTGCAAGAGTGTCTCCACTCGCTGGAGAAGCATCTTGCTTGGTGCGTCCTTGCGAACGGCATTGCGCTGTGAAGAAATCTACACTAGATCGTGGAAAAAATAGTTCAACCGACTGAAGTTGCAACATCATTACAGATGGTAAATCAAAGCGGCACCATGAAACTGCCTTTAGAGCAGATTCGGGGAGCTGGTACAAGCAGGGCGGGTTTCTTCAACCCACTCCCCATGCCTGGGGAAACCGCTCAAGGTACGTGAAGAGCAGGGATCTGGCAGCCTGCGACATACCCGCGCGGTCTCTGAGGAATGGGTGGGAAGTAGCATCAGAGATTGATTCTTCACGATTCCTGGACCAATCCTGAACTCATCTTCGATGTTTTGGCACCTTTCCCGAACAACAGTCAGACACCTCGCTACCAAGAAGCACGAACAGGCTGCAGTCATGCTCGGATGTGTGACATGGTTGGAAGTATGTAGACTGTATACTGCTTAGCCTGCTTGCCGCTCCAGCTCGAGCTATGCAGAAGATGCCTCCTTCATTCAAGTCAGGGGCGCTGGGCGGAACCCAAGCAACGAAATCCTGTGTTCCTGACGAATCCCTGGAGAGTTCGGATCAAGCCAGAAGCCTCCCCACCCATACAGGCTCACTGGAGCGTAAAGCTCGGCAGTCTACGTCGGCCTCGAACTTTCGTGCACGGTAGAGGGCGTGGACTTGAGTGAAGCCATCGGTGAAGAACCTTCGATGCATGGATTCAGATGTGCATCATCCATGCTTGTGTCCTGCAGCAGTGTCCGACATCTTTCGAACAGCTTAACAAGCATTTCAAGAATACAGCCCAAGTAAAATAGAAACGTCGCAACAAGTTCCGACAACACGAAGGCGAAGACAGCATACACCAGCTTCTACTTCGCTATTTGGCCGGCGGACAAGTAAAGCTTGCAGTCGACCACAAAAAGTCAACCGTCTGTTTCAGCTGTCTTACCAAAATGAAGGGTATACGGCCCCAAAGCCCTGGAAAGGGGGATCCCCGGTCACTTCCGGTCTACCGAAGTATGCGGCCCTTAATCAGTCTTGCGCGACATGATGATGGGTCCCTGCACACCTAAAACGACAGGTCGCCATGATGCATAACAATTCACGCCTGAACTTCAGCGTCATGGCTATAGCTTGTTCTCACACTTTCTCACTCTTACATCGTACTGGGCTCTGCCAGTCTCGTCAACTTGAGGACAGGCTTCGCCTTAAACCTCATCTCCCTGTCAACTGAGACCAGGAGCTGAACTTCCTCCAGCGATTCGAAAGAGTCGGGCAAAGAAGCCTGAACCTGAGCCAAGGGCTACGACCGCTACGATGTGGGAGATGGATGCATCTAGAATCTAGTGACGACTTGGAATTTGTTGGGACATCCAGGGCGGCGACCGGCACATGACTTCTGGTTCAATTTTGCCAGCTTGCTGCTTAAACTGGCGCCTAGCGGCTCTCTTTGCTAAACATCGACGTCGTTGCAAGAAGACTACACCACGAATGCGGCCATGACGACAATGCTTGCAAGTCCGAAGTCGCTTGGCACTCTTTCCTCTCTTGTCGTTGCAGCTACGTAATGCCTTCTGCCGGCATGTGGCGCCGACCAGCTGAAACAGCTCCGTCGCCTGAAGGGACAAATTCGATTGCACCTTTGTCGTGCTTCAAGCTGTCGTTGATGTTGCAAGCGTCAGTCAGCCTACGGCCAGTTAGATGTATGTGATAGGTGGACTTCCGGTCACATGTCCACACTGTTCATTCAGGTGTTGTTTCTTCCGAAGGCTGCGGGTGAGGGCCGGGCCTGGTGCCGACCTTTCACCGTCACCAGGTCCAACAGGCGAAGATGGAATTTCTCTCGCACTCCTCACGCAGGGCAAAGGTTGGATACAGGTCGAGAAACGACTCAGCTCCTCTTGTACGTAGTTCTTCGACAGTCTCCTATGCCACTACATGCTAGCATGCAGCAGTGGGAAGTCTCACACTTGCAAGTCTTTCCTGTGAGATCCCACATCCGAGGCTGTAAACACGAAGAAAAGGAATGCAGGCGCGCCCACCTTCCACCCTCAAACTCAAACACAAAGCTCCTGGTGCACTGGCGGCCTCCTCCTGCTCGCGACGCTTAGGGCTTGGCAACTGGAAGGCCCGCTACCTTTAGGTGCCGGGAGTTTACGATAATTCAAGATTCGCCGGTCTTGCATAAGAATACGAAGGACTTCAAGGAATCAATCTGCCACGTCCCATGCATTGTCCTATGTAGTGTCAGACAGCCTAAGCATCTGCCTTCTTCGCGCTTTTCTTGCCCGCATGAGCGACTGCGGCTGTCCCGCAGCATTAACGGATAAACGCCCTCATGATGGCGCTGGGCCACGTCAAGACATTGCGATGGACAGCCACGGAGTTCACAATCCACTGTGCAAATCCATCTCCCGCCTCGATGATGATGCCCACACCGTAAAACTTGCCTTGCGTTCGGCCACTGTTGGGAGTGCACTGAGCTTGAGCTTCCTACCTAGTTGGCGCAAAAATTTGGGGCTGCGGGACCACGCGCCCGAAAATGTGCGGTTCTAGAGCGCAGCAAAAATGCATGCCACATCCGCGCGCTGGTGCTCAATCGAGGAGGGTTTGTGTTTAGTCGTGTCTTAGGGACGGTGGACATCAACGACCGGCACCAGCGCAAACGCTTGCCCAACGTAATGTTCAGGCTCCACTTCTAGATCAGCTCGGAAGTGCCGCCACACGCAGAACAAAAATGCACATGCTTGCTTGCAGCTAACGATCTTTCGAGCAAAGGCACATAGTCCTTCCAACCGGGAAGCCAAATTAACGCTGTCGCCCACGAGACCATACCTCGGTAGCACTTCAGGCGCTGCATCACCGGTGCGGCAAAGCTCTAAAAATCCTGCGAAAACCTGACTCATGACCGGCGGGTCTAACCTGAAAAGCTAGCAGTGGCTGGTGGCCGTATACGAGCTGTATTCAGTCCATGACACTTCATGCGCTGTGAGCTGCCAATGTTCCCTGCCAGCACCTAAGTCTCCACTGCCCAGGCAGAAGCAGGCTTGGTTACCACGGCAAGCTTTCATCTCAACCCCTGGCTGCTGAAAGAATGACACCCAGGCGCAGTACCCCGGACCAGGCCCATACGAACTCGAACCTCAGGGCTGAGACGTGAGCTCGGGCAACTCAAGGAAGACTTGGAGAGCATGGTCAATGGGAACGCTTTAACTGATGTTGCCAAAATTCTCCGTAGCGTTGACATAGACATAGATGTGCACAGGTGTGAGCACTGCAAACACACCTGCCTCTGGAAGTCCTTCATTCATCCACTTCTCTCGAAGCTCAGATACTCGGTCCTGGCATTGACGACTTCAAACCCTGCTACTTAGAAGACAGCTGCAACCTCCTCTTGATGGATGCTGGAGAGGAGGGAAGCAACGGAGTGACTGAGTGACACACAATTTGCACCGCCCTGCGGCCGATGGCTCTACAGATCCGATACTGTAGAATTTGAATGGCTACAGGATGACTCCCAACAACATACGCGCAACATCTGAGACCGATTCTGGCTGGGTTTCTCAAGGGAGAAGACCTCGTCCAGCACAACAGGTGATCCCTTTCTACGACGCACATGTTGGGGATGTAGGAAACAACGGATGTAAGATGATGCAAATGATGGCCTTCATTTATTTCACCTGCGGCGGTGTCTGGTCGGTACCCAATGCCGCTGATGCCAGCAGTGTACCACGGACCTCCTTTCTTCAAGCCTCTGACTTTTTGGGATATTTCTTGGCGCCATGGAGGTTCGCAATGTTTCACCAGTGTTTCACATGGACGAAGGAAACGCCAAACTTGGCCAGGCTAGCACGCGGTATGCACCAGACCCCAACATGAACAGAGAGCTCTTCCGTGGTGACGTACGAGTTGTCGGGCAGAAGGGGTCGTGCTGACACAAGCTTATTTTAGCATCGATTGAGACAGCTTTAACTTAAATGTTAAAGCTCCTGATCGAAGTCTAGCGGGCTGTGTACGGCCTGCTGGTCCAAAGCTGCAGCGAGAGCGAGCTCGGTATGCTTGGGCCCAAGGTCGATGGGAGCCTTTGGTGTAGCACAAAACTCTTCGGCTCCAGTTTGTTTTGACAAGAGTCGTGAGAACCGGACTATGATGCAAGCATGACTGTCAGGCAGCCCTGCATCTTTAGATTTTGGATGTTTAGCAGGTCCTACCGTCCTACCATGACCTATAGGGCCTATAGGGTCATCTCCAGAAGGGCCGACAGCCCTTCAAGATGATCGCAATGTCTTGTTTGTTGGGATGCCGCTTTTGGCGTGCGCCTCTGTGGATGAAGCAGCCCATGCATGTCAACAGTTCTGGGCTTTCAAGCAAACCCTGAGACTCGGCTGCTTGCCGGTCTGTTGTTGACAGCATCCTTTGCACTGTATTCCTGCCGAAAGGGAGCATTCCACCACGCCATGATGGCATCACCGATGAACTCGCCGACTACGCCCCTCTTGCCCATGATGATCCTGCGAAGGATCGAGCAGTCGCGCGCACGCATAGTCTCTGCCACCCGTAAACCTCCGCTTCATGGGTTGTGGCCGAGCTGACAAGTTTTTGGCCACCCAGCTACCAGTACCCCGATATCTTTGGGCAAGAGCTGTCGGGAACCACCTCAAAAACGGAGCCTCAACAAGCCTGGACTTGTACCAGGCCCAACACCCCAAAATGACGAATGCTGCCCAAGATCTTGCTCATCTCGTCAAGGTAATCGCTCCTTATCTGGGCAAGAAAGAGGGGGGCGATTATGGGATGCTTGCGCAAGAAGTCGACAAGTACATGAGGGCCTTGAGGGAAATTGCCAGGGTCCAGTTGAAACCACAATCGCTTGACATGGTACAAGCAAAAAGCCGCAACCTACTTCCGTGGAACGTCTTGCAATCATTGCAATCGAAATCTTTTTAAATGTTAACGAACAATCGAAACAGTCTTGGTCTTGAACCTGACCGCTCGTGTTGCCGAAGCTCAACATGCTCATGAACGTCTCGGGGTCCAAGCTCTCGGCAATGGTGGTGAAGTTGGCGATATCACCTCGGAGCCCGCGGTCTTAGGGGCTTGGCTCAGGAAGATGACGAAAACAAGCCTCGCCATATCCTGCCCCCGAAAACAGAATGCAGTCCACTGTCAGAGGGGCCCCTCCCAAGTAGCTCCGAGGAGCTGAAGAAAATGGTCACCGGCGCCTTTCCCATGCCCAGCTGGGCCTGGCGCTTGCCTCGACAAGACGACTACCTAGTCCCATGGTTGGGATATTTTCCCTAGGTTTCATGGTTGGGATAGTAGTATATGGAAGCTTACATTTCTGTTTCTCCTTGGGTTTAAGTATGCATGAGAATGTAAAATGCAGAGAAGAGCTGGGGAGACTGAGGGGGCTGATGAGGCCCCCGGTGGCACCCGCTCAGCTGTGCCACAGCAAAAGCTGGACGATTCTGAGCTCACAAAAACAAGCATCTATTTAAAGACAAGTTATCTTTAATGGTATTGAAGACCTCCGGGGTCGCCTAAGAACAAACCACAGCTACAATTAGCTACATCCACGATCTCACAACAGCTACAGGGCTGTGGCGTTCTGTGGTTCTACATTTCTTTCGCATTCATCGTCATTCAGTCCATGCTTACAACCCTTACTATGATCGTTCAGACGACAGAGACTAATATCGAATGTTAATGCACTGCTTCTTCACAATATGGTCGACGAGCTATGCGCATTGAAACGGCTTCAACCTGCACGGGAGATGGAAGGCATGGAGGGAACAGCCATCCCTTAAGATCACCGCAGAAAATGAGTCTGGGCCAGGCCGCTCTGAACGACGATGCGCATGATTTCCGGGTCCATGTAGCGAGCAAAAGACTTCAGGCCAGCAACCATGTACACGAAGGACTCCCTCATGTGCACCTTACAAGTCATACTGCGACTGTTTTGAGTGAATCTTGGGCAGCTAGCAGATGGTGCAGAAGGTATGAGCTGATGAGCAAACTCCGATCTAACACTGCCTGCTCACGACCAGGCCAAGACTGTGAGACTTACACGAACGCCACAGCCTGGACGCACCAGCCCAGCTGGTTGAACCGAAATGCCTCCCCCACTTCTTTTAGAAACGAGTTGCGCCTAGTTCTCCAAATTGGACAGAGAACCAATTCTGGGTAGCACATGGGCCCGAGAGACATGGAGGGACATCGACCACAGTTTTCTCTATCCCCATACTCCCACCAGCCGGACTTCCGTCGTCAGCACGACAAGCCGTTGACAAGGATTGGGGTGAACCTATCGTCTGTTGCCTTCGCACAGCAAGTGCGACTCTGCAAAGTCGATCCTGCTACAGTATACTACAGTATACCGCAGTCTGCACCGAGCAGTAGCAGTAGCAAATGCTCGCCCATCAAGCAACTTTTGAGCAAGCAGCCACTTCACGTGGTGCGACGTGCATCAGCATCCGAGAAAAACGACCGCTCTCCCCCTCTTCCACATCGATGTCGTCCTCGTCCTGCCGGCGGCTTCTGCAGGAGTCAGTCATTCGGGCACGAACTGGAGTCTTCACTGTAGCAGCAGGCTGCATGAACACTTTCCTGTTAGCCTTCTTTGCGCAGACCCCCTCGAACTAAAGACCGTCTCGCTATATACATTGTTTAAAGGTTAGTAACACGATCAAAATGTCCCATTTAAGCTTTACTACCTTTTCATCTAGGAGCAGCATACTTACACCTTGCAAGCAGGTTCACCGAAAACCCACGAGCTTTACGCAAGGCTCAGGAAACTGAAACTTCTGCCAGTGCCTCGGAGCCGGAGCTGTCGTCGTCACTTGCGCTCGAGCCAGGGTGGCTCCGGTCGCTGCGGTTGCGGCCTCACACAGAACCCATGCGATCCTGTGTTGCCCTCGAGACGAAGGACCCAGAGTAGTATCCATGGTTCCCAGCGGCAGCGTCAAAGCAAGCTACAGAAAAGGCTCTGCGAGTGAACGGAAGGAACTGCTTCGAAAGGCTCGTGATCTCACTAAACTATCCTCCTGGCATCCCCACATCTCGAACAGGGTGACCCCATCTCGAAGGCCAGCAAGATCGAAGGCGCTGAAGAAGCTTCGGAAGCTCGGAAAGCGTGTTGAGCTCTTTCGGTCGCTGTTCTTCCTGTGGTGCCTCGGGTCCAGCTGCTTCGTGAGAGTTGTGCATGAAACTGAAGTAAGCAGCCTCCTTCATTCTGCAGCAGCCTCGGAGGCTTTGAAAAGTAACAAGAGCCATGTAATCAACGGGTGGCCGCCCTGCAAAGACTGAAAATATCTTTCAATTCTTCAACCATGAGAGTGCTTGTTGGTGGAGCGTCGGGATGTCCAATGGGGCACCAGCGCGTTGCAGAAACTCCAATTTGGCCATCGACAGCATCTGCGCAAGCAAGCAGAGATGGAAGACAGCACAGCTTGCATAAGAAATGCTTCCCTAAAGGGGTCGTACTATACCAAGTACATGGTTTCTTCTTCAGTTCTTCAGACTTGCGGCTGGAGCTGCTTTCGTTGCAAGGATGCGTGAACTTCGCAAATAAACCATGCCAACAAATGCGACACGATGCTCCTGGATACCGGTGTAGTTTAGCTTGGGCCTCCGGTCCTGACAGGATTCGGGTCTTCCGGTCGAAGTCGAGCCCAAATACCCACGACCGACAGCCTATGCAGTGCCAGCGTCCCCATTGATTTGACGGTCAACCGATGTGTGTGTGTGTGTGGAATTCCTGTTTCTAAGGAAGACATCTTTTCCGACAGTTCTGTAATGCATATACGAGAATGCAGGGGATGCAGGGGGCCGCAGGCTTACCATCGGAGCTGCGGCCAACGAAGACCTCCGATGGTAAGTGTGAAAACGTACCTGCTGAAAACAACCATATCTCTTCTGAAGATTTTCCGTGGAGATTCTGAATGCAAGCTTCTGAAGATTTTCTGTGGAGATTCTGAATGCAAGCTTCTGAAGACTTTCTGTGGAGATTCTGCATGCAAGCACAATTCGAAGCGTGAAGAAGAAGATGACGACTCGAGACAACCAGCTCAGACTGGGTATGTGTGTGATTCCCGGTAGTAATTCTGCCAAAGCGCTGCCGGCCCCTCGGTCTGCGGGGGAATGATGAATACTCCCTGAGTCCCTGTCTTCTTTCTGAATAGTGGACTTCAGTCTACATCTAACGCTGAAAATTACCGAACGATGAGATGTGAATGCTCCCAGCTGATGAAAACATCCAGACGCGGAAAACATATGAAGTCCTCTGGCAGATGAACATTGTATGCGCAAGATGAATACCTCCTGAGAATGATTGCGCTCCTAGCTGTCTACGGATTAATCTGAAGTCCACCTCTACGAATTCCCACAGTCCCGAACCTGTGCGGCCTGGTAATGTAACTACTGCAGAGGCGGTGTGTCAAGATTCGGGATCAGGTCGCCCGAAAAGCTCTGACACACATGTAGGATGATGTCGCCGATGCTATATCTACTGAGCGCTTTAGTTGGTGATGTTCTTAGTAATGCGTCCTCTACGTACCTCTTCGACGACGCAAAAGATGGTGTGCTGGGTGATTTCTGACCGCTGAAGACATCCAAGATGATATCGCCGTAAGAATGTTACTTGTTGTACCTCTGGGTTTTGTGTTTTCTAACGCACATTCTGAAGACCATTCTGAAGACCTCCGGAGTTACACGCTGAAGATAACCGGAAAGCTGACATTTATAGATCCTCCTGTGAGAGTGGCAGAGGCGGTGTGTCAAGATTCGGAATCAGGCCGTCCGAAAAGCTCTGACACACATGTAGGATGATGCCGCCGATGTTATAGTAGTTTTGCGCGCTTAGGTTGGTGATGTCTATTACTAATGCGTCTTCTGAATACCTCGATCCTCCGTTGACGCAAAGGATGGTGCTCTGGGTGTTGGTATTCGCTGAAGACCGCCAAGCTGCTATGATGAAAGGACTATCTTTATGTGTGTTTTACCAGATGATGTATCCATTAATGTGCCTCCTGAAGACCGCCTCCTTTGGCACTTGAAGATGGTGTTTGAGATGATGATTTCGCTGCAGACCTCCAAGCTGCTACATTACCGTGCCTTCTGAATACCACCTCCTTTGACACTTGAAGGTGGTGTTTGAGATGATGTTTTCACTGAAGACCGCCAAGCTGCTAGTATGATGCATCCCCTGTGGTAGCGAAGCTTTCCTCGGAAAGCAGCGAGCCTGTTGTGTTGCTATCATTGTTTTTTCGTTCAGTCGTGTCGTCGTCGTGTTCCTGTGTTGCTTTTATTCGTTCCCGTCGTCCTTGTCGTTCGTGTAGATGTTGCAGCCACAGTTATTGTGGTGTTGGTTGTTGCGTCGTTTCCTCGTCGTCGTCGATGTTGTTGTTCGTCTGTTTGCTGTTTCTCTTCGTCGTCCGCGTCGTTATTGTTGTGTTGTTGATGTTACATCATGTTTGTCTAGAACTTAGCCTATGAGAGTGAATCATTACCAACCGGCACTGACCGGGTAGGTGTGTGTGGAATTCCTGTTTCTAAGGAAGACATCTTTTCCGACAGTTCTGTAATGCATATACGAGAATGCAGGGGATGCAGGGGGCCGCAGGCTTACCATCGGAGCTGCGGCCAACGAAGACCTCCGATGGTAAGTGTGAAAACGTACCTGCTGAAAACAACCATATCTCTTCTGAAGATTTTCCGTGGAGATTCTGAATGCAAGCTTCTGAAGATTTTCTGTGGAGATTCTGAATGCAAGCTTCTGAAGACTTTCTGTGGAGATTCTGCATGCAAGCACAATTCGGAGAGTGAAGAAGAAGATGACGACTCGAGACAACCAGCTCAGACTGGGTATGTGTGTGTGTGTGTGTGTGTGTTTGATTTTGGTCGTGCGATCAGTGGCCCAGAGGGCAACCTCAATCTGTTTGACTAGTGTCAGGTGCTCAATGACCTCAAACATGCGTATCATCGACGACTGCTCTTGGCCAAATGCGACTGCATACCAAGCAACACGCAACATGCCAGCTGCCTCTATGGAGATCTTATGCAGGGGCTTGCTCACTGCGAAGCCTTGGATGACTTGGGTGCTGCATCTTGGGCCAACGATGCTGCGACTGTTGAGCCCTTAGGCTGCCGCAATGCAAACAAAGTAGACACGTGACACAAGCAGCTCGAACTTCGAACCATGTCCGACTGCCTTCTTCGGACCCCCCCTATAGATACAGATTTTATTATTCGAAACACATTATTAACCCAAGCAAACGACACCGACGTTGCCCAGCGGCCGATCGACATCATGATCACCGCACCGACAAACGCGAAGAGGGAGCAGTACAGAATCGTCTGGACCCTTAGGTGATGGCGTTTGCCGTGTAAGGCTGGTCGAAGTCTCTGCAGGAGCCGCTCAAATGCACAAGGCGCCTGGAACGACGTCCTTCCTTGAAACCTTCAACCTTCAATTCGACAAACGAGGCGAACCCGTAAAAATTGACTTCGCAGAGGCAGTCCGATGACGGCCACATCTGAAAGAAAAGGCAGCGCTACTGGGCCATGTGTGGAGGCTTCTGAATCAGTTGCAGGTGCCGTAAGGGAGTTGCGCAGAAACATGTCCAAGCAGCTCTTGCAAGTGAAGTTGATCAGCTATCTCCTGTCGCCGAACCTCCGAATGTTCTGACTGTTTCGACTCGCTCGCGCCACGGCCAGGCAAGGGTACAGCCACTTCATCAAACGGACTTTGACTTCAGGGAGGGGCTTCAAAAGCAATCTCTCCGGTAGCCTCAAATTTTGAGCAAGCGACGTGCACCATAGAACTGATGCAGCCCTACGAAGCACCAAGCAGGAAAGAAGCAATGTGCAGATTCTGAACCTTGCAAAACCGTTCCCTCGCAAGCCACCTGGTTTCTCCTGGCAGCTCGCTGTTGCACAGCCCAGGCCTCTCCACGTGGATGACAAGGGATTTGAAGGTTCGGGCCAGGACCAGCAAAGACACTCATAAGTCAAGCAGTATCTCAGAAACCGATGTCCGTGTTGTGCTGGATAAATTATCCAATCCAAGGTCCCACCATGTCCTCTCTTACGCTGTGTAACACTTGCCTTGGGGCACATGAAGTACCGGAGCCCTTCAACAAAACTCTTTCTAGCCTTGTAATCCCTCCATTTGCTTCCGTGATGCGCTTTCACCCGGAAAAGACTCAATTCAACATGTATATACATTAGTTTTCTCGCAACTCCAACACCGCCAGACGAGGTCTCGGATCGCATTTGGACTGCAGGGAAGCATGATACATTAGGCTGTGCACTACATGTAGGTTAGTACATCCTTGCCCACGGCTTCCTGGCATGGCAGACAAAGGCCTCATCCAAATACGCACTGGTCGGCCGCGAGATAATGACAATCCATCTCCACTTGTCCTCCAAGCGGGGGCTGTTGCTTATCTTCCCCTCCTTAAGATGAATACGGCGGCGAGGACGAACGGAGTACAAAACACCAACATGCAACAGGCGCAAAGCCTCACCGCATCATGCCACGGAGCCTGAAAGAGTGTGGGCAAACTAGAGGTGTAGGTGAAGAGGTAGCGCCCGTCCACGGATGACATTGTACCATGTTCTGGCCTAAGCTCTAGCAGGGAATCAACTTGGGAACCTCAGCACTGGCTGGAAAGCATCTCGCCAGCGACTCCCTAGGCGCCTCATCCAACATCCTCCGTCCTCCTCCGTACTCACAGAACTTTTCCAAAGCCACACCGCCCTATGACAGATAGGTCGCAGATGTTCTAGCGATCCGTGGGACTTCAAGAGCGTTCCTGAGGGAACCAGCATGACAGTGAGTTGCAGGGGTGTGCCGTACAACAAATTCCAGATCGAGCTCACAAGTCTATTCCAGCACCTCACGGGTTTCTGCATAAGATACTGTTGCTGTTTCAGGTTGTGTCGGGTACTAGCACGCATCGTTCTCACCGCGGCAGGGCCATCACTCCCCAAAAGCCTGCAAGTCTGTAATCCAACTACCTTTCCACTGCTGAGATAGCGTCCGAGGGGTGACAGCAGGCCACTGCAATGCGGTAGCTGGCTCCAGTGATATCGTATCCGATTAGATGCACCTTCCAGGGGTCAGTGCAGCATCGGAAGCTTGACGCTGGCTGGGTCCCAAAAAGGAATCCGGGTGAGAAATGACCTCAAACTTACATGATGCTGCTTGTTCCAACAGTTTGATCTGCCTTGCGATCCAAGCGTCACCTGAATTCACAAGCGATTAAACAAACCCATTCGACTTCGACCCACCGAAGGACTAGTACTCGCAGCGCCAACAATAGTCGGAGTAAGGAGCCGCGTGCACCTTCAAGAGCCTCTGGATTTTTTGACGGTCAACTTTTTGCACAGTCGTCTGTCGTGTGTGCATTATGTATTATGTAGCCTACAATTCTATAACTACATCGGGTTGCGGTAACCACTTGAAACCTGACTTGCTGCAGCTCACCACCTGAAGCTGGCAGCCTTCATCGACGTCCTTCCTCACCACCGCCTCGACACCGAGGGAGCTGGCTACCAGAAAGCCGTCGCGATCCAGAACGAAGCCCTCCTTCGTGGCCAGCTTCGGAGGAACTGGAGTTTGGCAAGTCGAGGTCTCTTCTAGCGCTTTTCGACTGCAGACGGAAATTCGCCCTTCGGGTCAGGCCGGCCCTGTTCCAGGCAACCTGTCCTATGCTATACTCGAAGTATAGTAAGTGTCTGACATTGCCCTTACATATTGTGACCTCTAAGATGAAGCCCAACACAAAGTGCACAAATTAGGATCTGTGACATTGCATCCTGGCCGTCATGAGCCCACTTTTTGGCTAAGGTTTGTGGCTTCGCTCTGCGAAAGACTTTTCAGCTTGCGGGGTTGAAACTCGAATACAACCCTCCTGCAAAAAGTCGGTATCAGTGTCTACAGTAGGCAGATTGCCGCTAGCGACACCAATCCGTTTCCATGATCTGCACCACAACAGACAGCTACATCGTGGCATGTTACGCAGGTATGCTTTGACAGGCAAGAAGGATAATGCAATATGTTGTGTAGTGTAATGTATAAGGATGCAGGGATGATGTCTATTGTCATATGGTGCAATGTAGCATTCATGTATGTGCGGATGCTGTAAGAACATCTACAAGCATGAAATAATAGTAACACGCATACCAATTGCCATGACCCTTATCACCACAGCATTACTGGCCAGTCCAGTCGAGTTTCCTGCTCAGGCACAGCGCCCGTCACTTCTCGCAGAAATCTACTCAGGAAGGACCTGAGACTGCGGCAGCGTTGCGGCATGGAGGGGTGGGAACACCGAAAAACAAAAACTGACAAGATCATGCTGAATTCGAGGACGAGATGGCACCGTGAAGTCAGCTGACACGACTGCCAGGACCTCGCCTTCGAACATGATGGCCTGCGAAGCCACGATCTCGAGAGCTTCTCATCTAGTTTCTAGTCTCAAAGCGATTCATCCAGCTTTTGAGGAGTGCAACTTCTCACAGAACCTACTGCGAGCGTGCTTGACTCAACATCCCGGCTTCAATCCACAATGCCTTGTCACTCACAGTCGCTCGTCACTTAGCAAGGGCTGCAGCCGCCTATTCTGGTTTGCACAAAAAAACAACAAGCCACACTGGAGCACTGCAAAGTGCAACCCTGAAGCTGGCAGAAGCTGGCCTGGGAGCATGACATGCCCAGGGTATGGCCGCTACTGTAGCTGTAGATGTCAGTCCATGCTTGCCTGAGGGATCAGAAACTTCAAGCTTGGGGAAGCCAGCTCCCTGATGCAACAAAGATGAATGACCCAAAGGGAAACCACTGATTGCCACCCCTTTTCAGTTTCTTGAGCGTCCTGCACATCCGACTTCGGGCACGCCTGATCGCTAGCTCAATGTCTCTATGCGAGTCAACAGCATGTGTGATTCGGCGTTCTGAACTGACACCCGACAGAAGACACAATCTCCCCACCCTTGAAGCACATAGCGATCAACAAACGGTAGAGAAGAAGTACTACCATTGCCGTTACTTGTAACACCCCACACGCGGACAGAAATTTTCACCAGCAGGGCTCGGAGGGCAATCACGAGCGCAACGCTGAAACGAAAACAGCCATATCTACACATGGGTAGTTGTCAAAATCATGGTCCCTAATTAGGTACCCTAAATATTAGGTGCCGTGTTATAATAAGGACCCAAAAAGGGACCATAATTTGACAACCACCCACATACAGAATAGCAAACAAACGCTCGATGACGCCCAGAGGCTGGCCCTTCGCTTCCGCTCCAAGCGTGTACCAGGGCCGGGTGCGGGGATCGTAGACCTTCCAATCTCCGCTGCTCTTGTTGCCACTGAAGAGCTCAAGAGTTGACGAAATTTAGGCGTCACAGTGAATCATCACATTGGCTTCGACAGGGGGATGACACTGAAATGTGCCATGCTAATGGTGCACTCGCACCACGGCGTGTGAATCAACCAAGGAAGCGCAACGACTCTGGACCGTGTTCTTATCTTTGACATTTCAAGTGCATGGACACTAACAACACTAAGATGCCTACATGCTGAACGTTCGACGGTAATGATGCGCTGCGACTCCATGTGGGAGTCGCATTCACAAGCACAAGACGCGAATCATAACGAACTGCAGTGCGAAGCGGAAAAGCCTTGATCACATAGGTCTAGCAAAACAGCATACGGCAGAATGGCCACAACTACTTCTTGGCAAGCAAGTCTGGGCACTGTAGCCTCACCAGCCTGTTCATGCCTGCTAATTCCATGTATAATTAGCAAGGAACGCTGGCGGTGCTGACCGCTCCTTAGTTTGATTGCTTCTGGCCTCATACCTGTGGGTGCATCATGCGGACGAGGGCTTCGTAAGGAACGTGCTTGCATGAAATTCTAGAGTGACCAGAGGCACTGTAATGTTGCAGTGCTCTAACACATTCACCCCGCTTTCGGCCTTTGAGTCGTACCGATTGCGAAATGCACCACTGGAGTCGTTAACGAAATAGTACGCCTTCTCGCCTGTCCAGAGAGCAGTGTCGCATCTCGTTCAGTTGACATGACCTTAGCAACCCACCTACCAGCCCTTGTGGCAACTACCGTCTTTGAAAAACTCGCCACTCAAGCTGGGTGGGATCCAGCCACAGAAAGCGTCTCTGTGCCGTTCCGGTCTGAAGCTCTTGGTCTGAGGCGGACCAGATCTTCAGTTCCCAACACCTCTGAACAAACCTCCTAGGAAAGGTCACACCACAATTTCCTGCTTCGAATGCAAGACGGGGGTGCTGCGGGGTACATCCGTAGCAGGCTCGTGCGGCCACCCGAGGCTTCCAGTTGAGGCTTATCTTCGTCACAGCCCTATGAAGAATCCCACCGCAGCCCTAAGCTCTGCCGGGATCGCATGCACTTCTGCAGATGCTGGGTTCATGGCACGCCTGGAAATAACAAGACTATTTGGCAATGCAGCTTGCCTCTAATCCTTGCAGAACAGGAGCCGAGCTTCGTAGCTTCGGGAACTTTGGTTTGCTTGCGGTTCCGTCAACACATCCTGGTGCCTTGGACGAGCACCGAGGGCGGTGGGCATGTGGAACAGCTTTGTCGCGAGGTTCCGACCAGGTCAGATGGCCGAAACCTGATGGGGAGCCCCTTCCGCAACCGCCCAGCCCAACAGTCTTAAGCCCAACAACTCCTCTACAGTTCCTGATTAAGGCGTACATGGTGCCGGGGGTTTGCAGCTTCTTTCCAGGACTGAGCTGAATCGGTGCATAGACACGTTTCTCATCAACTATTGGCACTGATTCCTCTTCAGCAGGACATAATGACATATTCGCACCGGAAAGATCAAACCACGATGAAAGCGTGCCCTGAGTTGGCCAAGCAGCTCACCGCCGAAAACACTAGAGCCTGGGTATTTGTCAGTGAAGTGCGTGGGAAGCCGTTCGATTCCAATGAAGGTGCCAGTTCGGTCTCCGTAAGCCAAGTAATCCACATGTGGAAATCGGTGAGTTATTCCATCCCAGTACAGCTGAATGATGCGATCCAGTCTGATCTCGTTGGCAGAGGGAAACGCGGTGATCGCAGCCAGGTTCACGTCAGTTGCCAGACTGGGCCATTCCGTGAATTCAGAGATGTGGGTGACAGCAAACAATGCAGAAATGTCTTGCATTTGGTGCATCATGTTGTTCAAGATGTCCTGTCGTTTTCATGCCCTCAACAAAAATGAAAGTAAGCAAAACTCCTTGTTCAACATTCCCACCGTTGCCCACCTTAGACGCCCCAAACACTCTCACATGCGAAATTTGCTGAACTCGACATCAAGATTCTGTCGACGACTTGTTGAGCTCGCGAAGCAGTGCGTCGTCAGTTTCTTGCTGCTTCCTTGCGGTGCTGAACAGCGGCAATTGGCAACGAAGTACTAATACTAATACTAATCCTAATACTATCTCTTCATACAGACGGCAGCTTGAAAGGAACATGCGGCGCTTGGTGTTCCTGTCTCTAGCGACAACCACGGCAGTCCATAGCGGGCTTGATCCTTCCAACTTACCAGGCCAAGAAAAGCTCAAGCTTGTAAATTTCTATAGACCACAACATAGAAATACCAAAAACGTCTGAAGCTCTCGCATTGGACCACTAGATGGACGACGAGAGGATACGAGAGGCGTTCAAAAGAGTTGTCGCATTGCTGCCCCTGTCTTGCCAACAATGCTATTGCTCTTCTTGTCGGTGCTGTTCTGGATGTCTGTGCTGCGCTGTGGTGCTGTTTCTCTTCCTTGCCTGCTATGGATGAATATGATACTGTACCCGGTTGTCCCTGCCAGCACGATGAGTCTATAGTCTTGACTCTTGACTGTGCTTTCCCTGGCCCAGTCGCTGGCCGCAGACCGGTCCCGGGACCACATAATGCAAGTCTCTCGCAGGTCCGCAAGCTGGCTATGGGCAGCTGGGCTATAATGCAACACTGGGGTCAACAAACCACAGGCTCTGGGATGCTCTGGGCAACATCTCCTTACAGCTGGGCTCCTTACAGCTGGGCGCAGAACAAAACAATAAACAGCTGGACCGCCAAGCATCGAAAGGCCGTCTTCAAAGCTGGCCTGGGTGAGAGACGCTTTGCGCAGTTCTGTGGTGCTCGCCTGCAAGCTTAGCCCATGTCCAAAACAAGACGTACATCAAACGAGCTCAAACAGAGTTGACACGAGCTTTGTCAACCCGTATGCCGGAGTCCAAAAGACCTCGTCAATGCAATCTAACTCAAAAAGCAAAAAAACACACGCAAACTGCAGCTGTCATGCCCCACCTTCCACAGCAAGGTCACGGTTAAAGCCAGCGTGACGGTCGTGCAGACCCTGGGAATCGAAGTGAATCGTTCTTTTGGGTTGCTCTTCTTTTGGTAGGACGCTCTTTGCAAAACCTTGCTGTGATAATTGCTGCGAGTATCCGCCGGAAGGACAACTGCCGGACACATTGGCCAACAGATTCGTGCTTATACGAAGGAACTTTCGGTTTGCAGGCTAAGAGGCACTGGAGCAACGAGGAAGCACCAAAGCTTCGGATGATAGCAGCCTTTCTTTCCTGCAGGTCTTTCAGTGAGACAATCTGTACAGGCGCTCGTTCTGCAGTACTTGCCAACAAAGCGTTGAGGATCTATGTGTAGACAACTATGAAGTGAAGCACTCGTCACTGCAAAGCAGGTACCATGCCCAGCAAGTTCTGGATCCACTTTGTAGTTCTTGGCTTGCCCATGGGTCCATGAGGTTGCAACTTGGGTATGACATGCATATAGATGCGAGACATGGTTGCAAGGATGCGCAAGCAGTGGCACGCACGGGCCCAACGGCTGCTCCAAACGTTTCTAAACATGCCATACGGCTGCCAAGACAAGCATAGCCACATAGCATAGCAACTTTTGAGAATTCCTGCATTGCTTCGACGGCGCATGACCCAAAAACGGGCCATCGGTGCGTTTGAGTGCAGCACATAGAGATTGAAGCGACTCGCAGGATACAAGATCTCGCTTGGATTGAAAAGGCGAACAACCTCGATCAGCGTGGTCCTGTCAGCATTCGCCCTCCGTACCTGCGATCAGGTTCCCATACGAGCCAGCAGGTTTCTTGAGCTTCTTATATTCCTCAACTCCTGATCCTGCAGACCTTTGATAGTCGCGACTCAAATCATCTGCTAACCTGGACCCCTGTCTCGATGGAAAAGTGCTGACTGCGCCCGGCCTGAACACGATTTCCTGGCCGTCGACCATACCGAATTCCTGCCTGCGGACCTCCATCATCGCTACACTTAGCTACTACACTCCACTTGCTAGTGGTCTTGGAACGACTCCCAAGACCTGTTGAATCTTGTGTTGCGCGTCAGGACAAGCTACAACGCTAACTGCCCTCATACAGGTTCGAGTATGCTTTGAGCTGCGGGCAAAGTGCTTCCCGAGTATATAGCCAAGCCGAAGTAATTATTTCTTCTGGCATGTCTCTTTTCCGTTTTCATGACCATCCCTGCCCCATCCGGCTTTGACAAAGCAGCGGCGGTTCAGCGAGATTCTGGCTCCCCCAGATCAGCCCTGTGTGGACGACGTTTCCAGAAAAGCGATCTGAGCAGCCTAGACTACTCCAACCCTGATACATGCAAACGCTATCACGATATCGATGCAGAGATTCGCTACGATATAAGTCTTCTTTGTGGGAAGCATCCCGGAGGCTCCTATACAGCGTGGCTGTGCTATGCAAAGTCCGGAGTCCACCCTGCTGTAGTGAAGCTTGTCTATTTGGTGTGGTCGTATGCTTCCTTCTCCTCTTTCCACTAGAACTCCTGATATAAATTCGCTAGAATCACTCCGCAAACTCTACGCTTCAGTCATAGCCCAAAGCGATTCATCAACCGTGAGCTTCAATGGCACACCAACATATCTCTGCAGGCACTGCAGTCGAACCCGGACTCTATCCACGGATTCTTTCTAAGAAGAGCAAAGCATCCGAACTGCGGACATAAGGTTCTGAGGCCGAAGTCCGAAAAGCCATGGACCAGGCTCTTGTGAGGACTCTTCATGTCAGTCTCTGTCTTCGACTGAGATATCAGGCTTGTCTGACAAAGGATGAGGCAGTGGCTTCCTTTTTGATTCATGGTTCAAGGACTTTGCCTGCAAGATCACCCTGCTTTGGGGTGTTTCAAGTTATCTTTCACATGGACTGACCAAATGCTAAAGCTTTTGCCTTGGAAAAGCATCCGCTGACGAGTCTGTAACTGTCGGAGGGAGGTGCGAACGTGGCCCACCCGGGCTCCACATATCATGGTACAGGGTAGCCAAAGTTCACAAAGTCCCCCATGTAGTAGGTGCGGATGAAGCCCATGGTCTCCTGCCCCACGAAACGAGGAAGGCGACGGGCAGGGGCACGGAGCTTTGTTGAGGAAATTCCGTGAAGAAAAGACGACTATGAACGCCACAGGAAAAGAACATGTTCCGACTTTCCTGGGCTTCACCTCATGTGCTGCTCTTAGTATGAGCCGGAAAGCTGCTGCGCACAAGTTTCTACAGGTCGGCCTCGTGCCGCGGACGGTCTTACTTGTAAGAGATATCCATGTCATTGAGGGGGGATGTTCTAAATCGCCCTTCTACTGCCTCACTTTAGACCTAGTGTGTCCGATCCTTGCAGAAAAAGACGGCATGGATGATGCCGTGAGTCGCACCAAACACTACAGGGCTCTCGACAGGACAACCCGAAGCAATTCCAATTTGCCCTACGGTGTCCCACCTCGCTGATGTTTTGGCGAACAAAGCGGCGGATTTCTGGCGGTGGCGTCGGAAGCTCGTCCAAGCTGACATTGTAGAGCGGCAACAGGTGCCGCAAGTCTGCTGCCAAATTTTCCTTAATGCAGGGGTGCAGATCAATGTTTTTTCGAGATGCAGAGTAGCACTGGCAAAGCACGCGCCAGCTGTCAAGGCAGCTTCTTAGGTAGCCGTCAAAGTAAAGCGTAACCGCACATGAAGCTCCTGTAGCTTGTTTGGACTCTTGCGTCAGGGCTTGGGGAGCTATCAGTGCCTTCAGCTGCAATCCAGCTGCAAAGCGGATCACGTGCTGCAGAACAGCGAAATCTGGGTCCATGTAATCCGTCAGGCGAGACAAGGCCTGAGTACATGAGAAACAAATGCTGCATGCCGACGTCTTCTCTGCCATATGAGTAACATCTCAAGTGAACCAAGCCAAGCATTGCAGAGCGAAGCCCTATCTCCGAGTCCGGTTAGTATAGGGGCTCGTGCGGTGTGCCCAGCCTATTTCCTCCAGAATACTGTTGTTGTGAGGACAACATTTCTGTTGAACATCGACTATACACACATTAGGAAATGCTGAAATGACACAGCATGCACGCAAACAGGCTTCAACACAAGGCACACACCGCTGAATAGAAGCAACACCCAACAGAAGTCTACAACGATGAATGCCCACGCTCCCACACAGAGACATCAATACAAGTATCATTATGCACACGCAATGCACATACATGCTAACAGCTCACATGAATTTATAAGTATATATATATATATATATATATATATATATATTATATACATACATACCTAACGACATACGTACATACGGCTACAGACAGACAGACAAACAAACAGACCGACCGACGGACAGATATATGGCCACACACGCACTTGACGTGCATACACATGCAACCACATGCATGCCCGCAGGAATTGCCAGGGCCCCCAATGGACGAACTCTTAAGCATCTGCAAGGACTCAAGACAATCCTCCACTACATGAAGAAACCATTGCAAAACAAATTTTCGCGTATGTGTAGTGAAGGAGTCTCTTCAAGTACTCATGCGATGCACTTCTGTACGACGAGGGTGAACAGCACTGCCGGCTACTCTGGCTGCCACCGACTACAGATGCTGCTTATTTCCTTGCGAAGGAGTTAACAGTTAACAAGCACGAACAGTATTCATCAGTGACTAAACACCATAGGTTGCATGACCTTATGCATATGTTCTACTCGTGTCTAGATAGTGGTGAAAAAGTTCGCAAGAGATGAGTGAGATGTTGTTAAAGGTAACCACGACATGTAGTTTCACTACAAATCAGCCAGAGGCCTTTAGCATATTGGAATGAGACTTACAAATCAAATGTGAGACCGGTATCAGCGAAGAATTGGCTTCATT